CCAATTACATACAAAACTGTAGATATTAATGAATACACTTCTATATATTTTTCAACATACGGCTGAAAAACATTATCCTTATGCTTCTGGACTCTCAAAACTAAAAGTTATACTGCTGCTTTCAGATGGGTTATGAATTGTCTGGAGATCACATTCTTATTGTAGTATTTAAATAAGTTGCTGATTTGATTAGGCAAAAGTACAAACATCGTTAAGGGAGTAAGAAAGCTACAGAGGGAGGAGCAGCTGCATTCAGTGTTTGTGAAGTTCCATTCTTTTTCTATGATTCTGTCATGAGGGACACCAGATCTAGAAAGCTCTTTCTTCCACATCACAGTCTTTTTAGTCTGTGCTTCCTTCACTTTCAAAGATGAACTTGTACTTGCCATCTCTACAATTCTCTTAAATGGAAGGTAGAATTTGCAAACATTGAGTTATCCTGGTTTGTGTACAACAGCACCACATCCTCATTACTGGATAGAAAACAGAGTGAATTCTCTGTTATCCCTGAACGAAAGCTTAGTCCTTGTACTTCCAGAATCAAAGACAGTTCATCTCACCACGTTTAATTCTGTGACTCTAATTTGATATTATTTTACCTGGGTAGTGCTGATGCTGAATTTGATCTAAGGACTACAATCAGAAATGCATTTCCTTGCACTGACCTATTGTTATTTCCTCTAAAATATATTTAGAAGTGCAGTAATCATTTAGATAATGGAAAGAAAATGGGATTGAGTGTCAAAAGATATCCTCTCTCCCTCTTGCAGCTTGCTAGCTGCATGACTTCAAACAATTAAATCTCATGAGTCATTGTTAAAATGCAAAAGATAGTAGTCCACCTGAGAGATGGCATGGGAAACATTCAAATTAATGAATGTAAAAGTGTTTTGTAAATATATCAGGACTATGACTGTTATTAGAGTACGACAAAAGTAGTTTTTTTGCTTTGAAATCAGCTACCAAAAAATGATGTCTTAGAAAATAATATATATCTAGGGTTTTTTCCCTGCAAAGAAACCAAAAAATTTTCAAGTATTTCAAAAATAGATTTGTAGAGATGTTTTAAAATGTTTTATTCTTTTACTATTATCTATTTGTGTATAAAAGTCTTATAATTACTTCTTTTGAAATCTAAATTTAGCATATTTCTTTTCATTCCATTAACTCAGTTGAATAACAAATATTTTTTAAAAAGCTCTCTAAACTAATATTCTGTAACGAGTTATCCAAGAAAATACCTGCTCTTCTCAGGAGTCTGAACCACTATTTTGTTCTTTAGTCAACCACATAACTAACCATGTAGCTTTAAAAATGTTGCTGTATCAATCAACCATAGGTCATTCACTTCATTCATTCTTCCATTCATGGGAGTGCCCCTGGTATGTATATAGATGATGGCAATGGGTGTTCTGTGAAAATTGTGGTTGACCTCATGGCCACGTATTCAAGGAATTTATCCCTTTAATTTTATAACAAACGTATGGGCTTACCTCAGCCTATATTGCAGAAACCAAACAACACTAATGAGCTTAATAAACAACTCTGGATTCTCTTACTCATGAGATGAGAATTTAAATGCTTCACCTGTGCTTCCTTTTAGAAAACATGAAATTGAAATCTTTGCTTTATTTCAAAGTGGGTGGCCTGAGGTACTAAGTTGCATTGCTAATGCAGAAGTATATAAACCTAGAAAGATAAAGAGGAAGAGTGAACATTCACATGCTCTCTTTATAGCCTGTTGGCATTACACTGACTTGACTCCCTCTTGGTGGCCATGCTTCCATGGTCCACCGGTGTTTTGCCATGACAGTGTTTTAACTGTGCAGTGGAATTCACCTGGGATTGTTTTCAGTCCCATTGTGGGTGCTTTACTAATTAGCTTCATTCTTTCATATTCTCAATATTAACAAAATTACCTAGATATTTTTATTTTTTGATAAAAATATCACTCTTAATAATGCAGTATTTAAAAGTTAGATCATTCACAATAGACTAAAGCAACTATTATTTTCTTTTTGGGTCACCCAGAACTTGCCTCCAGATCTGTGATGTGACTAGTATCTGTGAATGTATCAAAACCCAAAGTCCTAAACTGGAGTTCAGGAGACTTGGATTTGGGTCTTACTCTTTCACTAACTTGCCGAAAGATGTAATCCTGTGCTTCAGTTTTATCAAATGTATCACCCAGGGCAAGTCACTTGAACTCTTTTATGCCTCAATTTCCTCATCTGTAAAAGGAGATAATAAAAATAACCACCTTTTAGCATTGTTGTAAGACATCAACAAGATCATGACAATCAAAGGCTTAGAACTGTACTGGGCTCATACTAAGAACTTATGTATTATCTATTATAATACTAATCTGCCTTGCCATAACTCCTGTATATTTCACCTCACAAGGCTATACTGAAAACTTATGTATTATCTATAATAATACTAATCTGCCTTGCCATAACTCCTGTATATTTCACCTCACAAGGCTACACTGAGAATCAAATGACATAATAACTACTGTATTAGTTTTCTTATTGATGCATAGCAAACTTATGAGTTTAAAACAACATCCATTTACTGTCTCACAGTTGCTATACATCAGAAGTCCAGGGATGGCTTAGTTGGATCCTCTGATCAGCAATTCAAAAGGCTGACATCAAAGTGTCAGCTGAATTGTGTTTTTTTGATTCTCAGGATCTTCTTTCAACTTCACAGGCTGTTGGAAGAAGTCATTTTCTTGTGGTTGTAGGACCAAGTTTTCTATTTTCTTGCTAGATGTTAGCCAGAGGTTGATCTCAGCAACAGGAGGCTGTCTGCTGTTGCCTGCCATATGACCCTTCCATAAGATGGCAGGTGCTTTCCTCCAGGCCAGCAGGAGTGTGTCTCACTGACTTCCAATCCCTTGCCACCAGCTGAAGAAAATTCTCTTGCCTTATTAGGTCGGGCCACCCAGTATTATCTTCCTTTAGCCATGTCATGTAACTAATTATGGATTAACATGTCAACATGTCTTGTGAGGTGCCAGCCCCACAAGAAGAGATCATATGAGGGCAAGGGTCACTGGTCACCGGTATTATTTTAGCATTCTGCCTTCCACAAATGTGAACATGAAGTGAAAAAGTAAAATACCATACAAACACAAAGTGAACATTATCATGAGTAATTTTATCATTGTTGTCATCATGATCATGGTATCAATAAATTCTTTTTCATCTTTTTTTCTAAATTTAGCAACAGGGTCTCTATGTTGCCCAGGTAGGAGTGTCATGGCAATTCTCAGTCATGATATTTGTGTACTACAATCTCAAACTCTAGGGCTCAAGCAGTCCTTCTGTCTCAGCTTCCATAATAGCTGGGACTACAGGCATGCACCACAGTGCCCAGAATATCAACAAATTTTTAACCTCATACAACACTGTTCTACTTATTTTTGGTGTTTTAAATTAGATGCAAAGAGTATCCCAATTCATTTGATAATGATAGAACTCAGAACCTTGCATTGGCTTCATAACTCCTTGAATTCCTACTCTTATTGACTGAGCTATTTACTTCCTGCCTTCTCTCCTTTAATCCTTGAGTAAGTGAACTATGACTCTCCCCAAAAACAGAGTTCCATGGATAAATTTCTTTCTTTTAGAGTCACCAGACCATAAGATACTCAGAAACTATCATCATTACATGTGTGCACCAACCCTGATATTCCCTGTGTCCTGGTTGTACTCAATCTTAAAACAAATTAAGGAAAAGGTAATATTTTCCAATGTCTCAATGATAGTTAATGCAGGAACTAAAAGGACAGTCTCAGAGATGTTTATTCATAAATAGCAGGAGTGAACAAAACAATACCCACTTAGCTATGGCGTTGTCATTTGATCAGCACTCAGGAGGACCTCATATATTGTAAAATACTCAGTAATATATAACTAAATAATGATACAGGGAGAGATTGAAAATAATTACATTTTCATTAAAATGGAATTTAACCTATAAATCCACACAAGAAACTACCAGTACTTTGTTAATAGGAGTGTCTTCAGGGCAGGGCTGAATCCCATATCAACACAGAGATTAGTAAAACTTTTACACATAGAAATAAGTAATATTATATAAAATAAGGAATACAGACTTCAGATTATATTTAATGGGCTTTTTTTGTTGTTGATTTTTGAAACAGAGTCTCATTCTGTTGCCCAGGCTGGAGTGCCGTGGTGCAAGCGTGGCTCACTGAAGCCACAATCTCCTGGGCTAAAGTAATTCTCTCACCTCAGTTTCTGGAGTAGCTGGGACTACAGATGTGTGTCAGTATGCTCAGCTAATCTTTTTTATTTTTAGTAGAAATGAAGTCTTGCTTTGTTGCCTGGGCTGGTCTTGAACTCCTTAGCTCAGCCAATTCTCTTGCCTCATCCTCCCAAAGTGCTGCATTACAGGCATGAGCCACCATGCCTGGCCTATATCTGTATTAAAACTTGACTCTGCCACTCTTGGCAATATAATCTTGGATGAGTTACTTTTTCTTCCTGGGATTTAATCTCTACCTCTGTAATCAGAGTAACGCTGTCTACTTCAGGAGCTGCACTGAGGTTTAAGTGAAAAACCCTATACCAAGCTCTTAGAACAATATCGAGTATATAGTGAACACTTAGTAAGTGATAACTATTGTTCTATTGCTGAAATTATTTATTTTAATAATCTTAACATGTGGTTCCATGTCTGGAACATATTATGTGCACAGAAAATATTACATTTCACCCTTCTTCGGTATCTATTGAGTTGAACTGGATCTCTAGAGGAGAATATTTTGGATAGTATCAATATGAACTAGGCTAAGTGGTTACCGTTTTCCTAATTTTATTTAATTTTCTATAATTTTCTTCCTCCCTTCCTTCCTGCTTGCTTGTCTGCCTTCCTTCCTTCCTTTCTTCTTTCTTTCATTGTCTTTCCTACCTTCTTTCTTCTTCTCTGTCTCTTCCTTTCATTTCTCAATCTTTTTTTTCCCCAAGCAGATATTATTTTAAATTTCCGAACAACTTATGTCAGCAAGTCTGGCCAAGTTATCTTTGAAGCAAGATCAATTTGCATCCACTATGTCACAACCTGGTTCATCATTGATTTAATCGCTGCCCTGCCTTTTGATCTCCTGTATGCTTTCAACGTCACAGTGGTGAGTAAAGAGCTCCCCGCCACACGGCCTTTAAGGTTTATTTATTTTCCCCATGTTTATGTTTTAAATGTTTGTGGCAATTTATGCTTCCAGGGTTTTGTGCCTTCTTCAGTAAAGATGCCCTGATGCCCAAGGTATACAGGCCAGATTCTTCAGTTGATGAAATTGTTTCCTTTTGAAATTCACGTTACCTGTTCTCACTTTTAAAAATACCTAGAACCAGGAAATGCAGATATGCTGAATTTATCATAAATACTGACCCACTAAACAAATTCTTTTTTTTTTTTTTTTTTTTTTTTTTTTTTTTTTTTTTTTTGAGACGGAGTTTCGCTCTTGTTACCCAGGCTAGAGTGCAATGGCGCGATCTTGGCTCACCGCAACCTCCGCCTCCTGGGTTCAGGCAATTCTCCTGCCTCAGCAGGCATGCGCCACCATGCCCAGCTAATTTTTTGTATTTTTAGCAGAGACGGGGTTTCACCATGTCGACCAGGATGGTCTCGATCTCTTGACGTCATGATCCACCCGCCTCAGCCTCCCAAAGTGCTGGGATTACAGGCTTGAGCCACCGCGCCCGGCCAACAAATTCTTTAATAAGGAAATCATCTGTAGGAATTTAAGCATCACTTTATATTACCTAGGCAGATACTTGTCTCAAGAATTTGCTGAAAAGTTTGAAGTGGTTTTTTTCTGCTTTTATGACCCTTAACTCTATACTTCTTTAGCATTTTGCTACTCATTGGCAAAACCAACTGAAGACTGGATCCAGATAGAGAGGACTGTTGAATTTAAATAAGGGAATTCAACCACCTCTTAGAGGTCCTTGCAAAACTGCTGGTTGAAGCAAAAACCTAAATGATATGACTAATGTAAACCTTTAGAGTTCTCTTGAATTTGCATGAATTCTTGTACCTTCTTTTTCTTGCTCCAAATCCCTCACCCTCATGTAGCCTCACAGAACAGAAAGCATATCATTTGTAGTAGTAGCCATTTTTATTGTTTAATGATTGGTATTCTTAAAACTATTAAATGCTCCCTCATAAAGAAACTTTTAGAGAGTCCATTTGTGAAGCAGTAATGCAATTTTCTGCTAGAGTAACCAATTATGGCACGTAAAAATTTATTAAACATTAGTTTAAATTAAGCAGATTTTCTAGTCAGTTGACAGTACTTCATAGAAATCATATCCTCTTTTAAAAATTTAAAGGCAAAGTTATCAATATTAAACACAATAATCACTGCTTCAAATACAGTTATTATTAACTTCAGAATGAATACAGAATTGTGATCCTGACTTGTTAGTGCAGACTTGTGCATTTGTTAATTGCCTTTACAATAGTTTCTTTTTATTCTTTCTCTTTTTAAGTTGTGAGGTTGATAGTGCCAACATCTTTAAAACGTTTATGACTCAACTGAAAAGAAAGCTCCCAGGAAAAATTTAGTATATCTCAATCACTGCTACATTGAATTGTTATCTGGGCTTTTTAAAGTGCTTTTTAAGATTGAATTTGACTAGATAAGTGTACCATAATGAAACCATAATGGCTTAAAACCATGTTTTTGCAAGGCTGCAAAATAAGTATATAATTCACGAAAGGTTAAAAAAAAATTCCAAATTCTCTTGGCAAATTGTTTTAAATTGTTCATTAATTATTTAATACAATTCTATTTTAAATTAATTTCCTGCTTTGCTACTAAATACTAATACATTTTTTATGTTTCATTTTTATTTGAGTACTGGGTGAATAAGATATTTTAAATATCTATATATAATATAGATATTATTGATATATAACATACATTTTTTATCAGCAATCTCATTGCCCAAAATTAACATGGATGAAGAAATGTTTTAAAGTCTAATTCTCATGTTTAACTAATTTTGAATATGTATATACTTTGTTATACTCCTGTTCTCTTTTCATCAATCTTATGTAATCTAACATAAACGCTTTATAAATAATAAAAGGTGTAGGGCAACATCTATGTCAAAAAAAATGAAAAAAGAAAAGGAACAAATTAGTGATACTTGTTCTGCTGTTCACAGGAGCGAGTATATGAACACTTAAAAAGCTGGCACCTAAATTCATTGTACCTCTTAAACAAATTAGTTAGGACAAAATATTCTATAATATTTGAAGAGAAAAGCTTGTTCAAGGTATTATGTTTTCTTCTCAAGAAAACGTAAGTTATGAGGAATAACTTATGAGTTATGCTGTTTTACAACAAAGACTGAGAAAAAGAAACAAATAAGGAAAGGTGTTTGTCTCTGAAATCTACAAGGTGTCCAGTTAATGCATCTCCATAGACAACATTCAAAACTGCATAAACTTTGACTCTGACTCTGCTGACAATTCCTAATGGCAGTTCTTTTAAGTACAGATCACTGCTTTTTGTAACCTAGTATATATATCACTATAAAAGGCACATATAAGAGATAAAATTATGAATAAGACATAGGAAGAGTGATAGAGTAAAAAAGGCAGAAGTATGAATCCAAGTTCTATCACTTACCACCTGAGTGACTTACTTGAAGTTTACATCAAAATATCCCTAAAATGGGCACAATATAATTCCTACAGAGTTTTTGACCAGACTCAAAATGCAACATATCTGCACAATGCTTTGCTAAATGTCTAAAACCTAGGAAAGCCTCGCAACATGTTCATTAGCATCCTCTCTCTCTCTTTTTTCTTTCTGAAATGGTCATATCCATTTGGTAAAAGGGGAAACTCCCATTTGATAAGGGGTTTTGATGAATGCACCTGTCTATGAGTAGCTTATAATTCTTATCAGTGACAAATTCAGAAAAGCATCCAAAGAGTGAAAAGAATCCTCTCCTTTTTTCAGATACATATTTCTATAGAAGTCAAATATGGTCCTTTCTCCTGTCATTCTTCAAGAGCCAACATTCAAACCTTACCAAGATTCTACTGACTCTGATGGGAGCAAGCATAATTTTTAAATGCCAGTTTTTATTGACTTCAGAATGGACATAGAACTACCTGGGTCAGCTGGACACCGAGGTTCACCTAATCTTTGCAAATTACTACTGTTCTCATGTACAAGCAACTCCACATTCTTTACTCAAACATCCCCTTTCTGGTCAGAGAAAATGGGGAGACTGCATCAATAGTATCTATGCAGATGCCTTCCTCCATTTGGGAGTTTCATTCCAGGTTTCATTTCACTTATAAAATTGTCACCTATCCATCAAATTCACCTACCTATAAAATAAACTCCATCCCCAGTAATATCTTTAAATAACAGAATAGAGATTACAAACCTTGGCATCTGACCATCTAGCTAACTACCAGCTTGAGAAATGATAGATGAGAACTTGGCTCCAAAGGAGAAGAAAGTAAAACCTGACATGAGAGAATGACAAAAAGAAATAAAAGAGCACAGCTAGCTGTTAAGTTCCTAAATACCCTTAAGAGTGTACTGTATTTGAGTATAGAATAATTCACAAGATTACAAGTGAAAACAATTTTACTGAATATCAATTTTTATGCTGAGCTTGAAGTGTTTGCATCTTTACTTGATAATTTATCCATTCGCTCATTTAACAAATATTTATTGAGCATTTTCTATATGTCAGGTACTGTTCCAGGCATGTTTTTCTTAGAGATAAGAGAATATGGCTAGCAAAGGAAGGAATTAGAAGTCAACTGACTCGATAAATACAAAAGCAAACTCTCAATGCTGACCTTGTGCCTGATTAAGTTTTGTAAAGAAAGAGTGTAGTTAGTTAAAGCTATACAAAGCACCTCCTTCATCTCTATTTTCCCAAAGAAATTAGGTGATGTCAAGAAGTTTGTCAAACTCTATTTCCATATGATTTAATGGTTTATTTGTTTTTTCTATTTTAGAATGTTCTTTGAGGGTATGAAAAGAATGTGTGCTATGGGTACTGCTTATTAATGGTGATATTGACTATCCTGGTCCACACCAATGATGCCCATTTTTCAACTGGACTCTGAAGTCAATAAAATAACCCATCAGCTACAAGTCTGCTTCTATAGTGGATGCAAAGGCACTCAGAGACTCTTCAGAAATTCTTGTCCATTTCACTTTAATTCCCTAAGAATGTTCAAGAGAGTGGGGGGCGGGGGGGAGAGAGAGAGACAGAGAGAGACAGAGAGAGAGAGAGAGAGAGAGAGAGAGAGGAGAGAGAGGAGAGAGAGGAGAGAGAGAAAGTACGCACTCTTCAGGCATGTGCTTTCTCTGTTGATAATGTTAGAAGTAAATAGCACATGAGGGAGAAGATGCTACTGGTACTTGTGAGCAGAACTTATTCAAGTTTTATAGGTCTACCTATTTCAAAAAATAAACTGTTACTTTTATTATTACTTTCTAGGTATTTACTTCAATTTTTCTGAATTATTGTTATAAAGCAACTTCCTTACACAGGGAAGGGAATATAAGGTTGAAAGAAAATATGTGTAGGGGATTTGAGATATCATGGTATTCTGATACCACAATGTGTTTCAGTTGTGTATCAGAATGTATACTATTGTATTAAATGATACAGAGAGTAAAAAAAGATAACTCCTAATTAAGAAAGGTATTTATTCAAATAAATTAAATTATCCTCCCTATTCTATCCTTTATTCCACCATCTTTAATCCTATCATCTTCTGATATGTCAAGAATGAAGATAATTTATAAAAAAAATAATATTGAAATAATTATACTTTGTTTCCAAAAGTTTTAGAACGGCTTCTAAAAATTGGTGTGGCATGATTTTAACACATACACCAAGTTGTGCTGCTCTCTCTCCTACCACAGGTGTCTCTTGTGCATCTTCTAAAGACGGTGAGGCTCTTGCGTCTTTTGCGTCTGCTACAGAAGTTAGACCGCTATTCCCAACACAGCACTATCGTCCTGACTCTGCTCATGTCCATGTTTGCACTCCTTGCACACTGGATGGCATGCATCTGGTATGTCATTGGAAAAATGGAGAGGGAAGACAACAGCCTTCTGAAGTGGGAAGTTGGTAAGGGCTTACATTTGTCACATTTTCCATTAAATTAAAAAAAAAATAGATTGTCAAGAACTTGGAGGAAGTGAAAGATAAATCTATAAATATATTCCTTCTCACTGTCAATTTGTCTAATTAATTTCTATTTTTGAATTCATGATACAACCTTACTTTTTTTTCCTTCTGGAACAACCTTACTTTTTTTCCCCAAAAATTAATGTGTTAAACTGATAAATTTTATATATATATATATATATATATATATATATATATATATATATATGTGTGTGTCAAAATGACCATAGTTTGGCTGTAGAAGTGTTTAGATAAATAATGTTCAATCTTATCTTGAAATGTTCTGATGCAGGGCTATTAATAGCAAATCACTGGGCAACTGGCCTATGGCCTTGTCACTACAATATCTTAAATCATAAGAAAATTATCACTTGTATTTGAGGTGGTGAATTAATAGAAAAGATATCCTACCACCCTTCCCTTTAAATAGAGAGAGTGAGAGAGAAAGCAAATATAATGACAGACTCCACATTTAGCACATTCTGAGAATTTGTGATTGTAGAAAGGACTGGATATTTACAAACATAATTTATAGTTTTGTGTCCCCGTAATACATGGTTTAAGGGAGATTTTCCAAGTGTTACATAATTCTGCATAAATGAATCTGAAACACTATGCACATGAACACATTTTTAAACTTATGTCAACCAAAGGAAATTTATGGAAAATGAAAATTCTCATAACTATAACCCTCTATCCCAAAATATCAGCATTCTTCTCACAGTCATACCCTTTAGAGAATTGTCACAGTACCTCATGTAGAATGTAGAATATTTTTTCTTAATCTGACATTTAATCAAAAGAATCTGCTTCTTAGTTGGCTAGAAAAGCCTTCACTTATCATTTCCACCAAAAATCAATCTTGAACTTTTGAAAGAAGCTCAGACCTTTGCATAGGAAACTCCCGAGAGAGAAAAATGCCCAAACTCTTCATACCAGTACTTAATGGCTGGACATATTTGAAACACCCCTATGTTGGCCCCATAAATGCCAATATCTCAGCATAGGACATATACAAATCCTTCAAAGGCAGCACTGGAGGAAGAGCTGGAGACCTTAGGAAAGCAGGTGGAAGGGAATAATCTGTCCAGGTTCTTAAAAATACCTCTACACATCCCAATTTTGTTTCTGAGCTACGCAAAGCAACTGAAATGTTCTGATAATTTTTGTCTCAGAATTATTTTCTTATCTTATCAAAGGACTTTTTAATGTCTTGCTGTGGGTCCTTAATTCTAGGAAACAAAGGAAATGGGGAAATAAAACTACTCAGTAAAAGCAAAAATATCCTAGATAAAAATAAGTTCCAATAAGAAAGAAAAGGAGAGAGAAAGAGAGAAGAATCGGTTAAAAGGAGGATCCGAGTCTGAATTGTATGTGGATGGAAACATTTTCCATCCTTCAATATTAGTTTCTTCTTTATAACTTTGTCTTGAAGGCTTCCTCATCACATACTGTGTCATCATCCTAATGGTGTTCAGGAAATTACAGCATTAGATCTCTGCCGTTTGTTTTGAAACCATATTAAAATTCTGACTTGTGGTCAGCACCTGGTTCCTTTTTAGACCTGACCTAATTTTCCTCAGGCCCCAGACCTATACACTCATATTAATTTGTAAGTCTTGTCTAGTCTGAGAGTCTCCAGATGGGGAAATTTAGCTTATTCACACTCTCAAATTTAGTTACACGAAGAAAGCTTTTTGTTTTATTTCCAACATGCCAGGCTTGCTGCAGACTTATAATCTAGCTGTTGTTTTTCCTTCTACAGCATATAAAAGTATTTATTTTTCAATGCTTAAAAAAAGCCAACAACCTGAATTGCTTATTTTTTTTTGTATTCTTGATCCTTGCATTATAGTTCAATGTAATAAGTAGTCAAATCACAATGTAATGTTGTAAGCCAGAGCACAATCTCACAGAGAGAGCAGTGGCATGAAGTAGTGGCAAGAAGAGCATTGGGCTCCTGTCATCATGGTTCCATTGCTAATCAGCTGTCAGATTTGCAATATTTCTTTCACCTGTCTGGGCCTTAGTTTACTCATCTACAATGTAAAAATCTCACCATATAATTTGAAAGTCTATTTCTGGTTTCATGAACAATGATTTTCATGGAAAAATAAACCCAAAATGTGTGCTCAATATATTTATCTAGATATCTTGATAGATTTTAATATATCTAGATATCTCAATAGACATTAATGTATCTAGATATCTCAATAGATATTAATATTTCTAGATACCTAAATATATTGAGCACACATTTTGGGTTGGTTTTTCCATGAAAATCATTACTCATGAAACCAGAAATAGACTTTCAAATGTCTATCTAGATATCTAGGTAGATATTAATACATCTGGATAGATGATAGATAGATTGATTGGTTGGTTATAGATAGGTAGATAGATTCTTATTAATGGCTCATTGTCCACATAAACTGTCAGAGGATGTATTAGAAAGTACATCCTATGATCATGGCATGTCAAACAATTGACATATCTTACCCACTTATCGTAAGAATGACTGAAAATTTATCTTTAGAGAATTAGATTTCTGTCCAAACACCTACTGGGATATGACTAGCAAGACTGTATGCTAATTAAATGTATAAATATTGGGCTTATAGGCTTGTCTACAAAGACTTTCTCTTCTAAAATTACTTGTATCATTTAAATGTTCATTTAAAACATTCCCCAGCTGATATTTGAACACAAGTTAAATAATTGTGGCCTTCCCTATCTAACTTTATAATGAAGTAGCTGAGAGTCTAGGCTAATTTAGTTTTTACCCTTTAATTTGTGGACTAATAGTAAATTTTACCTTTTTGGATCCAATTATAATGAATCAAAAAAATTATCATACAAGTAACATTTGATGAGACAGCATGTTGTTCCTTATGTTGGTGTTTAACATTAGGTGTATAAAAATAGATACATTTTCCCAAAGAATAACATTTCTTCCTAATTATTTTTAATTGCCATGAAATGATATTTTTTCTTTTGTTCTTTACAGCCCAACTACTTACAGCTAGAGTTCCTTCCAATATTTTATATCATGATAAATCACTGTTAATCTTTAAAAGTCATTACAGTGTTACTTCTTTATTAGGTATCTATTTTTGGAAGGAGGAATTGTGCTTGTAGATGTCTTATATCAGAGGCTGGTTATGAAATGCTTTGCCTGGTATTATATTTATTTCTTTTTAATGTATTTCTATATTGTATTTTAAGGAATTTTGATGTTTGGTTTACTGTTTTATGTAATTTTAGACCTGGGAGGACCTTAGTTCAACTCGTTTACTTTATGAAGAGAAATTTGGTTCTAGGTTTTACAAGCTCCATGATGGAAGGAGTTGTTGTCTATTAGATCCACAATTCTGTCTCCACTGTTGTGTACAGTTTCCTGGTACATGGCAAGCGTGCAAAAAATTTTTTCTTTGAATGAATCAATCTTCATGGTAGTTTATTATATCAAAATAATGATTCAATAACCTAAATTCCCTAATTATATGTCTAGAATTCCTTCAAATAACATTGACTATTATTATATTATAGAGAATGAGATTTAACAACTCTTTCCAGCTAGTAATACAAGGAAGAGAAGAACAAACAGGATTACTTAAGCTTTGATTATTCATTCAAAAAAGAAATTTTTAAGTGCTCATTACATACTTGGTTCTGTGTTAGGCACTGTGGATACCAAAACAAATCATAGAGTTTAAAGTCTAGTGGGAAAAGTAGACAAAGATTTAATAGGTACATTACAGTGTGATGTATTTTATAAAAGGAATATGTATAGAGTGGTGGCACTAAATCTAACTAGGATATCATCAAAGGGTTTTCAGAGATTATCTGAGTTTTAAAGGGTGAATAGGTCTTGTTTGTATAGATGCTAAGGAAATGGCATTTGTGACAAGAGGTTTACTAATATATTAAGGAATTCACTTGCGCAGAAGGTGAATGGGGGCATGGTAGAAAGGGAGTGAGACTAAAGGTAGGTAGGTAGAGACCAGATCTTTAAAGGCTGTGCTAAGCTTTAGAGTGTGGACCTCATCATCAGATACAGTGAGGGATAAAGTTCTCTTGAACAGAGATCTTTCGAACATAGAGCGCCACCAAACAGGGACATGTTTCATTCTGCTTCATTTTCAATGACTGTAAAATGACAATAATAATAGTGTCAAACTCAATGGGATTGCCAGTATTAAATTAGGCAACATATAAAAGCATTTAGATTTGTACCTAGTAAGGGAATTGTATTATGACAATCACTTCTAATGAAAGAAAGAACCATGAACTATGACTGCTAAATACTTATCATTTTATGTATGAAAGTTATTTAAAAATAGCTTTAAAAGTATAGCCTTCATGTTTCATTTGGTGCTGGACAACAAATTATATACTTTTGTATATCATCAAAATAATTTATCTGTGCCACCTTTCAATTGGAAAGTCAGTCTCTGAAAAATTTTTACATAGGCTTGCAACTGCACATACATAGGAGATTTTTTCTTTCAGGTTCATATAGGAGGCAAGTCCTATATCAACTTTATAAGCTTGTTAGGATATATCAGTTTTTATGGAATTTAGATATAGCACTTAAGGGTAAGATTAAACACTGTATTAAAGAGACATATCACAACTCAATCGGAGAGTGCTTTTCACAATTTAGTTTTTGGGAGGCTGCAAGGAAATATTTCAGAATAATCAATCTCTTTGCAGGGAATTGAGGATGCTTTATTTGTTTACTACAAGATGGCATCAATAAATACCCAGCTAAAACTGTACAATTAGACTTTGCATATTTTCATATATCTCAATTAATATATGTATATATTATTTTAGCTACTATGACCTCTAAAGTTCAATCGATGATATTGAATTAGTCTCCAAGGAACTCCATTAGCATCCTAATATGAGTTCTGATTTGCAGCTCAAAAGATTCA